TTGATGTTTTCTTTCAACCACGACATTTTGTTGTGGTGTTTCAACACAACTAAGTTGGTGAATAATACCTTTAGAGAAGTAGAATTCAGGTATTTTGAACTCAAGACCATTATCAGATCTGATGGTCCCTATATTGCAATGAAAATGAGTCTGAATAAGGTAATAGAAGGATTGGATAAGTGTTTTAGCTTGAGACTTTTCTCTCATAAGGTAAGTCCAAGTCATTCTACTATAGTCATTAACTATAGTTAAGAAATATCTTGAGCCATCTAAGGCAGAGATGGAGTAAGGTCCCCAAATGTCACAATGTATGATCTCAAATTTGTGTGAAGTTTTTGTCTCACTATTGGGGAAGGGAAATTTGTGCGGCATCAATGTTAGGTATAGACTTATGTAAAATTGAAAGTTTGGAAGAAGGTAAATGACCCATACGACAATGCCAAATATCAATGTTCATTTTGATATTAGAACTATCAATGTAATTACAAGTTGGAATAGATTTATTACAACCAGAAGGAAAACTAGAATTGAAGACAACTGTAGAAAAAACAGCAAGATGTCTGATGTTGGAATTAGCAGAATCAGGATTGAGTTGATGATGAAATGAAGGTTGTACTTTGATATGAGGCTGTGATGGTTGGAAATGGTATAGTCCATGCTCAAGGTTGCCCACTCCAATCATCCTCCATGTTGAAAGATCCTGTATAAAGCAAGAGTCATTGAAAAAATATCAGGCAGCACTTATGTTCAAGAGTCAATTTACTGATGGATATTAAATTGAACTTAAAAGATGGCACAACAAGCACATTGCTGAGGCATATAGTAGAAGACAACATCACTTTTCCAATGTGAGTAACTGCTACATTATCACCATTAGGTAATCGTACTGAGGCACCAACAACACTTGTCACATCAGCCAATTGCTTGACAGAAGACACCATATGTTCTAAGGCACCATTGTCTAAAATCCACGTATCTCCTACTAGTAAACATTTATTCTGATTACCTGAGAAAGCAAACGCATCAGGATCAGTAGGTGAGGATCCATTCACATCCTGAGGCTGGTGATTTTGAGCAAATTGATTTTGCAGCAGAGGCATCAACATGGATAAAATTTTCTGACATTGTTCAGGAGTGATAATAAGCTGTGAAATAGAATTCACAACTCCAGAGACATCATTGGTGGATGATTGACCATGACGAATTTGTCCTACAGCATTAACAACTGGAGGCTTCTCTCTCTACTAAATCTCTGATTAGGAGAATTACTAAACCGTTGATTGGGAGGATAACCAATCAGCTTATAGCATTTGCCTTTGATATGTCCTAGCAAACCACAGTAACTGCACACAGATCTGTCCCTTCTCAGATTATTGAAATTCATCCTCTGATTAAAATATCTCTGCACTACTTTGCCTACAAATGCAGCTGTATCATGTGAATTTTACTTACCAGTAGCTACTTCCTTCTGTCTTTCATCTTGTAAGACAAGAGCAAACACCTTATTTAATGACGGTAGAAGATCCATCAACAGAATCTGGCCTCTAACACCAGCAAAATGATAATCTAGACCCATGAGAAACTGCATAATTTGATCCTCACATTTATAATCAGTATTTTCACCACTCGGTCTATAATTTTCCAATTCTTCCCATAATCCTTTAAGCCTATTAAAATAGAAATTGACAGAGTTGTTCGACTGAGAAATAGAAGAGATTTGCTTCTTCAACTCATAGATCTGAGGTCCATTGCCCTGGCTGTACCTATCATGCAATTCGATACAGATTTCTCTAACTGAATCCTTGTGCATTACACTTGGATAAAGCTCTTTGGGTATAAAATTGATTATCCATGAGGAGACAACAGGATTACATCCCCTCCAAGTAGGAAACAAAGGATCATTCAGCGAAGGCTTGATTACAGTTCCATCAGCAGAAGCTTCTTTATTTTTGATACTGAGCGCCATTGTTGCTGCACGACTCTATGTCGCATAGTTCTCCTCAGTGAGNAAAAATGGGTTCATTCACTCTTATTAACAACGGGGTAGATTCGGTGCGGGCCGACCATTCTGCATCCCGCCCTGCTAGGAATTTTCCTCCACGTTTTCTTCGTACCATGTTTATGTTCGGAGCAGAGTAGGTTCAATGCACCAGCCTCGCGTATTTTATGATTTTATTTAAGTGGAACGGAGCGCCCAAAACCTACCTAGCCCAATCAGACCCCAACCCCTTCCCGTTCCACCAATGACCAAACCAACAAAGTGAGGAATTTTTGTACTGTTTGGAATAGGGCAGTTTTTTTTTTTTTTTTT